AAAAAAAAAAAAAAAAAAAAGATTGATGGCAGTATCAACCTTGGTGAGTTGGTCATCATTGTACAGGGCTGCATCTTGCAGACTCAAAATTCTGACTTATTTTCTTGCCTCAGGAACAGCCCTCTCACTAAACAAGCTTCAAACTCTGATGCATACTCCAGGATGCCCTTTTGTTCATTTAGAATGAGAAACAGATGCTGGGCATGGTGGCTCATGCCTATAATCCCAGAACTTTTGGAGGCCAAAGTGGGAGAATTGTTTAAGGCCAGGAGAGTTCCAAACCAACCTGGGCAACACAGCAAGACCCTCGTATCTACAAAAAAATTAAAAAATTAGCTAGGCATGGTGGTGCATGCCTGTAGGAGGTCAAGGCTGCTGTGAGCTGTGATCATGAAAGAGTGAGACCCTATTTCCAAAAAAAAGAAAAAGAAGAAGAAAAAAAGAAAAGGAAAAGAAATAGAGTTGTAGAGATCCATTTCTTCCCAGGCTTTCCCACTCCTGCATTCCCTACATACACACACATGCACACTGTATCAGTCAGGGTCCCAACAGCAAACAGCACCCAAACATTTTGATAATTTGAGACAAAGTTTCTTTACAAAGGTGGGAGTGTTATGTAAGGGAACAGAAGGGGATATTATCACCCCTAGGCTCAAAGAGATGAGGGGAGAGGTTACAGCAGCGGTCCTTAGTGGTGCCACAGATCCCTTCGTCATTCTAATGAAGCATGCACACACATACACATATATGTAAATTCACTGGGCGAGGTGGCTCACACCTATAATCACAGCACTTTGGGAGGCCAAGGCAGGCGATCACCTGAGGTCAGGAGTTCAAGACCAGCCTGGCCAAACATGGTGAAACCCCATCTCTACTAAAAATACAGAAAGTTAGCCAGGCATGTTGGTGGGTGCCGGTAATCCTAGCTACTAGGGAGGCTGAGGCAGGAAAATTGCTTGAACCCAGGAGGCAGAGGTTGCAGTGACCTGAAATCTTGCCATTGCACTCCAGTCTGGGTGACAGAGTGAAACTCTGTCTCAAAAAAAAATTGTATTGCATTCTAGTTATCAAAATATTAATAAAAACTTCCAATAGGGTACGTTGAAACTGTCTGAAGACTGACAAGAATTTTATGCTGGGATCTGGACAGAAATATAGCCATAATTAAGCATGAACCAGGCTGCACTTTGGCTCACAGCTCTATTCCTACAAGTCTCCAGATCCTGACCATTTGCATCCCCATTGTGCTAGCATTAGGATCATAAGACTGTTTAGGAATTTATTTGCATTTTCCTATAGACAAGATCTCTGACATTAGAATTATAAAGGTTTTGTTTAAGGATTGCTTAAGATGTTTTTCAGATCTGGAATTCCAGCAAAACCAGTTTGAAGGCCCCCAAAAAGGAGCAAGATCAACATGAGAATACAGCTTCTTCCTCTCCCTGTCTCTTGACCTCCCCCTACATTCTTCAACTAATCAATGATCTCTACACTTCGGCCCACTCCAAAACTTGAAAGCACCAGCGCCAAACTCTAGGGGGAGATGGAGTTGAAGGTCCCTCCTATCTCCTCATGCAGTGGCACTATGATTAAACCTTTTTTGTTTTGTTTTGTTTTTTGTTTGTTTGTTTGTTTTTTGAGACAGAGTTTCGCTCTTGTTACCCAGGCTGGAGTGCAATGGCGCAATCTCGGCTCACCGCAACCTCCGCCTCCTGGGTTCAGGCAATTCTCCTGCCTCAGCCTCCTGAGTAGCTGGGATTACAGGCACGCACCACCATGCCCAGCTAATGTTTTTG